TGCATGTGAACTTAGGAATTGTTTTTCTAGTTTATTTGTTTTACCCAAAACTCATCATCATGGTGGATCGATTGACCAAGAGTGCACACTTTATTCTGATCTAGGAGAGTATCTCAGCTGAAAAGTTGGCCAACATCTACATTCAAGAGGTTATGACACGGTATGGGGTGCCGGTTTTGGTGATTTCTGATAGGGATGTCTGGTATACTTCTAGGTTCTTGAAGAGATTTCATGAGGAGTTGGGTACTTGTCTGCATTTCGACATGGCTTTCCACCCATAGACTAATGGTCAGAGTGACCGGACTATCCAGACCTTGGAGGACATGCTTTGGTCATGTGTATTAGATTTTGGTGGGAATTGGAAAACATACCTTCCCTTAGAAGAGTTTTCATATAACAAAAGTTATCACACCAACATTGATCGACCTCCTTTTAAGATGCTCTATAGGAGGAAGTGTAGGGACCCTGATATGTTGGGGTGAGGTCGGTCAGGGGGTCATGGGTAGTACAGAGGTGGTACTTCGGGCGACTGAGTTGATTCAGCAGGATCGTGGCAGACTTCAGACACCACAAAGTCAACAGAAGAGCTATGTACATAGATGCCGCTAAGACTTAGAATTCCAGGTTGGGGACATGGTACTCCTGACGGTGTCGCCTTGGAAAGGTGTCATCCAATTCAGGAAGCGGGGTAAGTTGGGCCCCAAATATATTGGTCATTTCAGGGTATTAACCCGAGTGGGTAGGGTTGCGTATCGTTTGAATCTACCATTGGAGCTCAGTCATATCCATAGTACTTTCCACGTCTCCCAGCTACGAAAATGTCTGCTTGATAATTCTGCAGTGATTCCATTGGAGGTCATTCAGGTGGATGATCGCCTGAATTATATAGAGAGACTGGTCGCAATCCTCAACAGAAAGAAGAAGACTTTGCGAAACAAGTTGGTGGACTTGGTAAAGGTGTAGTGGCAGCACCAAAAGCGTTCATAGTCGACGTAGGAGCCTGAGGATGAGATTTGGAAGCATTATCAGGAGTTATTTCTAGCAGCGGACTTCGAGGACGAAGTCTAATTCAAATAGGGGAGAATTGTAATGATCGATTTTCAGGTACTCGTCAATATTTGGATTTAGTTTTAAAAAGATTACACTTTTGGTCCTTGTTACACTGGGAGTAACTTGGAGTACGCTAGGCGTACTCTCTTAAGATGGTCACGAGGGTTGGTGGTGTACGTTGGGCGTACCCATACATACGTCGGGCGTATGTAAGCAGACCACAAAACCTAATTTTTAGGCTTTGGACCCTATTTAAATGTCATTATGGACCTTGAGGTTTCCCCCTCATCAGCTTCCTTCCCTTTAAAGACTCCCCACGAAACCCTAGCCTTTCCTTGTGTATTCTTGAGCTTTGGTAGTAAACTTTTGGTATTTTTTGCGCATTGTGAAGAAGTAGGAGCTTAGTGATCAAGCATTGGCTGGAGTGGAGCTTGAAGATCCAGAATCTTCATCATCTCGGCAAGTCTCAGAAGGTATACAGTTGCAACTTTGTTGATTCATCTCTTAGATCTAACTAGTTTGGAGCTCTTGGCATATTTTGGTCCCTTGAGTTGTTTCTTGTGAGTATAAGCTACTCCAGAAGTTTAGGATGGTAGATCTTAGTGTTTTGGAGGTCCCTTGAGCATAAAAATGGTAGCTTTATGGGTTTAACTCAACCATGCAAGGATTGATGTTCATTTCTTGATGTTCGTGTGCTGAAATTGGGTTTTGGGGCTTATTAAGCCATGCATAAGCTTAAAGCTTCCGAATTTATGGATTAAGACCTTGTTTTAGAGTAGATGTGATGTTTGGACGAAATGGTCTTAAGGGATTAAGCCATCCATATGAAGATTGGTTCATAAAAAAGTACGTTGCGCGTATTGGGTTCGAACCCCATAATCTAGTCAGTATGAGTATGTGGGGTGTATGAGTTAGGTATGCTCAGCATACTCCCCACAGTGAGTTTAGATGGATGGACCATTTTGGGCTTCAGGTGCTTTTGGGTTGGGTCACGGTTATTTGAGCCGATTAAAGGAAAGGGTAAAATGGCCTTTTACCCTAAGGAGTCGGATTTAATGAATTAGGTTCCTGGTTATGGTTTAAGACCTAATTATTAATTGATTGATTGGTGTGGGGATTCTCCGGTTCAGCAGCCCGAGCGTCTATTTGTTTATCAGCAGATCGAGGTGAGTTTGCTCACTATACTGTAAGATACTAGGGTTGTATGTTCTTGTTCTCTTTGTGACTCTTGTTATATGCATTTATGCCTGTTTGCTATATGTATGTGGGGTGAAAGAGACCCGTACGGTTGAAAAATACCGAGTGAGTTGAAATAGACTTAGAGGTGAAATAGACCCGATATAGCCTTGAGCTGTCACGTGAGTTGAAATAGACTCGGGGGTGAAATAGACATGGGGGTGAAGCAGACCCAGCACAGCCTTGAGCTGACATTTATGTATGGTATGTGGTACTTTGGGGAACTCACTAAGCTTTGTGTTTATGGTTTTCAGTTTATGTTTTAGGTACTTTCGTTTTGAATGGGAAGAGCTCAATTAATCACCATATTTTCAATTATTAAATCTCCACTTTCTTGCTTCAATGTGTATCTTTGTTTGTTGTGACTCCATTCAAGATTAACATATTGTGTAAGTTTCTTAGGTTTTATTGTTAGTTAGATCCGGTCTCCTCTTAGAAAGAATTTGAGAGTACTAGATAGGCCATTTTGTACAAGGTTTTTAAGACCGTTTAAAAGTATTAACCTACATTTTTTTAGTAGATTAAGCTTTTAGTGTAGAATCGTGTAAATACTTGTGTTCAATCATCTATATCTCCTAAATTTTACCATTCTGCATTTTACATATTTTTATATCTTTTTTCATTGTTGCTTGAAAGTAATATTTTTATTCTTGAAGTAATTTGTATTCTACTTTTATAAATTAAGTATTTGAATTTATCTTTATTAATTTTGTTTGGAGGGTTCAAAACTTGCTGAAATTGTTTAAAATTGCCATCAGCATCTTACCCTCCTTAGATACACTTATAATCGCTATATAAAAGTTAAAGAAATGTACTTACTTGAAGTTCCATTGCATCCTCAATTCCCTCGATGATTGTTTCCATTGTAGGGCGTTTCGTTAAGGTTAAGCTTATACACCGCCATGCAAGTTCTTTAAAAGCATAAAAAGAACGGTCATCAATTTGATCTTTTATATTGTGATCAATTAATTTCTCGAGTCCCTTCTTATAGTAGCGTCGGACCAGACTTATCAGGGGTTTTGGGCCATAAGCTAGCATTCCAGTCAACATTTCAAACAAGACGACACCAAATGAATACACGTCAGACTCTCTATTGAGGGCATTGGTTTCTCGATAAAGGGGATCTAGGTAGAAATTGGTACCCGCGACTTTTGTATAGTATTGGGTATCATTCTGGTTTTTGGTGCCTTTTTTTGACAAACCAAAATCACAAATTTTGGCTTCAAGATTTTCATCTAATAATATATTTCCGCTTTTCACGTCCAGGTGTATTACGATGTTGTCCTTCCCTAAACCCGAGTGAAGGTAGTCAAGTCCTTTTGCTGCCCCTAAGCAAATCTGAAGGCGTTGTGACCATGTCAAACAACTCTTCTTACGTGGGTCATTGAGATGATGATCAAGGCTTCCATTGACCGCGTATTTGGAAACGATAATCATTTGATCATCTTCATCGCAGTAACCCACGAAAGGGATGATGTTTTGATGGTGAAAACAAGAAAGCAACTTAACCTCATTATTAAACTCCGAATTTCCTTGGTGGCCTTTTGGATCAAGGCATTTGATGGCAACTATGCAATTTGCCCAACATTCCGAGATTCGTGCTTTGTAGACTTTACCGTATCCACCATCTCCGATAGGAATTTCTTGACTAAAGTCTTCTATGGCAGAGTTGATCTCCTTCAGTGAAATTCGATAACTTTCGAGGTTTTCACGTTGTTGGCTTTGTGTGGCTAGGGTAAATGCTACTTCGTGTTGATTCTGTGAATTTAAAAAAATCAAATTTTCTTATAATTAAGTTGTGTGACCAGGAGTCAAAGTTAAACTTATGCTAAAATATATAGAAAAAAGATTACAAAAATCATTGGTTATTACGTAAATACTTTGAAATCAACGGAGAACATGGATTTCCATAATTTAAGTTCTAGTTTCAAATAATAAAATGATAAAACTTACTTGTATATCTTGTGCTTCCTCAATCCTTTTTATGATCCTCTTCATTGTAGGGCGATCCTCTAACTTTAAACTAATGCACCGAAACACAATCCTCATAAACATACGGAAACAATGACTATTAACTTGATCACGTATAAGAGGATCAATTAAGTCGTCCAATCCATCATCAAAGTGGTACCGAACAAAATTTAAGAGATTCATCTATGGCCCATCATCAGTACCAATGCTCCTTCGATGATTAACTTTCATCCCACTCACCATTTCCAAGAGTACAGCCCCAAATGAGTACACGTCTGATTTTGTGTTGGGGAGGCCACTTTCATAGTAAATAGGATATGTGTAGTATGAGGTACGTGCAACACGGTCATAGGTTTCTGGAAGATTTCGGTCTACTATGAGTGACAGAGAAAAATCACTAATTTTTGCTTTGTGATCATCGTCTAACAGTATATTTGAACAGTTTATGTCTCTATGAATTACTTTATTGTCCTCCTCAAGACCTGAATGAAAGTACTCGAGTCCTCTTGCTGCCCCTACGCAGATCTTTAAACGTTGTTTCCATGTTAGGCAATGCCTCCCATTGGTTTCAGGTTCATGGAGATGCTGATCAACGCTTCCATTGATAGCATAATCATAAACTATAATATTCTCTTTCTCATCATCATAGTAACCAATGAAACCAATGATGTTTTCATGGTGGAAACTGGAACCATCCTAAGCTTATTGTTGAAATCATCCTCTGCTCGGTAGCTATTCTTTTTAAGGCGTTTGAAGGCAGCTTTGCGTTTTTGCCAGAGTTCTCCTATGTAGACCTTACCAGATCTATCACCTCCAATATAAGATTCCTCACTAAAGTTTTGAGTGGCCGAGAGAATCTCCTCCAATGGAATTAAAAAGCTTTCAAGAGTTTCATGTTGGTACCGCGGTTGGGTAATGGTTCGAGAAGCTCCAGGATTCTGAAATATAAACAAAAGTGAGTTCGCTTAAATATACTACAATTGACATAAAACTTCGTGGTCATGACAAAATTGTAAAACTGTTGCTTGACAAAATAAACTATTTGTCTCTAGAGATGAAAGTTTTTACATGCTGAGGCCTGTGTGATGTAGGTTTCTTTCACTAGAAATCTATACAAAATGTAACAGAAAAAAAAAAAGATAAATACACAATCTAACCAAATGGTTATAGGCAAGAGACTACTAAAAAGTAATCAAAGGGAAAACTTGATGTTCAAATCTAGTTTGGAACCAAATACATAGTTTAGGAATTAGGATTGAAGTAAGGGCGTATGTTAGTTGCTTTAAAAATATCAACAAAGAAAATTGGATAAGACAAAGGCATAATAATTAGACTCAAATTAAAGGCTTAAAGAAATGGTAAAAAGAATGTAAGGGCCCAATTTATGCCAATTTTGTCTTCTGAGTTATCTATTTTACAAGGAAATTATCAGCTTAACCGTTATACTTTGCTTTCTTGAAGTGTTTCTTGGATGGTTTGGAGCAAATGAGCTTCACACCTATTTATATACATCTTAGGAAGTTTCTGGATACTAGTATATACTTGTTACTTACGAGATAACTCTTGAACTATTTATCATGTTCATTAAGCTTCTATATGTTTCTAGAATATTCTACCACGACCTAAAGAGGTCTAGGATGCTTCAGTGTCTTTTAGAATGTTTCATAACCTTCCATGTCCTTCTACAATATTCTAGACTCTTCCGGTATATTCTGGAATCTTCCATAGTCTTCCATAATGTTCTAGAGTCTTCCAGAGCATTCTAGAACAAGCTAAATTCTTCTAGATAATACTATTGGTTCTATTAGGCTAGTGATGATATTTTAACACTCCTTGTTAACACTAGCTCCCATTCTCCATACCATGTTGAGATGACAACGAAAACCTTCACATTTTCCAGTACTCATCCATTTGGTGAATAAATCTACTATTTGGTCACTAGTCTTGATATGTCGCAACTCAATTTATCCGATCAAGACTTTTTCTCTGATAAAGTCATGGTTCGCTTTCACATGCTTTGTTCTAGCATGAAGTATTGGATTTTTTGTCAACCGAATTGCAGATTGGTTGTTGCACTAAAGTGGTACCACATAGTCAACTTTTTGATGAAAGTCCCCCATTAAGAGTACCACTCATGTACTTTCTTGAGTTGCTACATCCGTTGCTTGGTACTGTGCTTCAGTAGTTGACAGTGATATTGTTGGTTATCTTTTGTTGCACCACAAAATTGTTCCCGACTTAAGTTTAAACACCTACCCAGTGGTTGACTTTCGGGTGTCATAGTCTCCTGTATAGTCAACATCACAATATCCAACCAAATTGCGGTATTCTCCTCTTTTATACAAGAGGCCACATTCAATTGTACGTTTGACATATGTCAAGATCCGTCGGGCCGCATCCAAATGAGGTTTGTTGGGACTTTGCATGTATCAACTCATAACACCAATTGCATAAGCTATGTCAATAGGAGATAAAGTTAGGTAGATAAGACTAACCACTATTTATCGATACATTGTTCCATCATCCAACTCTTTTCCTTTATGTGCATAGATCTTGGCATTCGGCTCTATCGGTGTTGATATTGGCTTACACTCCAACATGACAAACTTTTGAAGTATAACTCTTATATACTTTTGTTGGTAGAGAAACAACCCTTCTTTAGTGCAATCAACTTCTAGCCCCAAGAAATATTTAAGCTCCCCCAACTCTTTCATTTGGAATCGCACTGAGAGATTTTCTCTTGTTTGATGGATTTCTCTTTCTTCATCACCATTGATGATCAAGTTATCCGCACATACTAACACACTTGCCAATTTTCCTTCTTTTTATTTGATGAGTAAGCTTCAGCCTGCATGTACGCCTGGATAACCACTCTGGGTAAGCAATTTAGAAATCTTACCATTCCAGGCTCTCGGTGGCTGCTTCAATCCGTAAAGAGCTTTTCTCATCTTCCACACATGATTGGTGTTAACTGCATCATCAAATCCCTTTGGTTGGTTAATGTAGATCTCTTGGTCCAACTATCCATGCAACAAAACATTCTTCACATCCATCTGCCACAATTTCCAGTCTTTACTAGCCATAAGTGATAGTAGAACCCATACAATAGTCATATTCGTCATTGGACTAAATGTTTCATCATAGTCTTGTCCATACTGTTGTGAAAACCCTCGAGCGACCAGACGAGCCTTGTATATTTCAATTGATCCATCTAGGTAACACTTTATTTAATAAACCCACTTGCAGGAAATGGGTTTTATATCTTTTGATCTTGGTACCAGTTCCTAAGTTTGATTCCGCTCTAAGGCTGTAACTTCTTTTTCTATTGCCGTCTACCAAGCTTTATATTGTAATGCTTCTTCATACGTCACCGACTCTCTAACACCATCTTATAAAATGGCCAGATTGTCATACTTGGGATTTGACTTCCAGATTCTTTCTGTGTTTCGAAGTTGTGGAGGCAGCATCTCCCTTTCACTAGGGTTGCTTGGTTGAGTTACTTCTTGCTCAGTGATATCAATGTCGCTTGGATCTCTAGGTGTATAAACACTTAACCAAATATGTTCTGTTTGCAACCTCATCTGCTGTTTTATAACTTCTTCATTATTTTATGAGTCCGGTAAGACTTTCTTCTCTGAGGATCACCATGAAGATTCTTCATCGAACATTATATCTCTTGAGTTGTATCATCTTCCACTTTTTGGATCACAACATTTTCACCCTCTTCTTTTACTGTTGTATCCAACAAATGTATACATGACTTCTTTCTAGTCAAACTTGCTACGTAAATGACTAGGCACAAATACGTAGCAAATGTAGCCAAATACTTGGAAGTGGCTAACAGTAGGTTTCATATTCCATATTGTTTCAAATGGTTAGATGAAACCTAACCTTGTTTGGGGAAGTTTGTTGATCACATGGGCAATAGTTCGCATTGCTAGCTTTAGCCCAAAATCTTCATGGGACATTCTTCCCATGTAGCATGCTTTAACAAATTTCTATAAGATGTTGATTCTTTCTCTCATCTATAGCATTTTATTGAGGTGTGTTGGCACATGTGAACTGATGATGTATACCGCATTCTTGCAGATAGTGATTGAATTCTTCCAAGGTATATTGTCATCCATTGTCTGAGCGTAGACACTTAATCTTCATTCTTACTTCTCCTTTGAACATTGTCTTGAATTCTTGAAACATTGAGAATGTTTCAAACTTTTCATTCATCAAGAAAACCCATACATATCTCTAATAATCATCATTGAAGGTCACCATGTACCACATCCCACTGATTGATGTCTGCTTGACTGGACCGAACACATTCGAGTGAATTATCTCTAATATCTTCTTTGCTCTAAAATTTGAATCCTTGTATGGTAATTGATGAGATTTACAATACTGGAATCTAGTAGAAACAACATATGTTTTAACTTCAAGTTGAGGTAAGCCTTTGAGCATGATTTTTCCATTATTACCTTCAACTTGTGATAGCCAACATTTCCCAGTCGTGCATGCCATAGATTTGATGTCTCATTATTTCGAGTCTTGTGTACGTATGCAGACTCTGTCAAGAGCACATTGATTGACTCCACTCTCCTTCTTTTTATTGTTGACTTTTCCAATATCTTAAGATCTCAGTAGGCCTTCACATCTTTCAGCCCAAACAAGAAGTAGTTGTCTGACGATGTTAGTTGTGAAACTGAAAACAAGTTATTCTTCATATCGGACACATGATAGAAATTATGTAGTTACATCATGTCAAATTTGTTATTAGGCATGATCGTTGTTTTGCCAATCTGAGCAATTGGCAGTCGTGCATTGTTGGTTGTAAGTACCATGTGGCTGCCCTTGTACTCCTTTATGTCTTGTAGTTTGTTCTGATCACCAATCATCTGGTTGGAGCGTCCTAAATCAATGATCTAATCATTCTAATAGTTAATACGCTTTCCCATCATTTCCATGAATGCCAAATTGTTTTCTTCTAAGAAATATTTTGACTCAGTATCACATTCATCCTTTATTTCCTTTTTGAAGTTAGTACATTGCTTTCGAAAAACTTTTTCATTGACCAGCAATCCTTGGACATCGGCCCTACTTTCCACATTTGTTAAAGTTTCCTTCGAACCTCTTCCCCCGAGAACTCTTATTGCCAGTCTTTTGATATCTTCATGGTTGTGATGTTCCTTCTTGACTCTTCCCTATTTCAACATTTTTGTATCCTTATTTAGCAGATTACTTGAAATTCATCTGAATTCTGCTAATGTAGAGCGCTTCCTCTTCACTCTTCAAGGTGATGCCTCCTATTTCCTTAGCCATAGCTTTTTGGATGGCTGGCAAATTCACAAACTCTATAAGAGATGGTGAATGGGATATCCTTGTACAGTAGTAACGAAGCTTCTATATTCTGACCATAATCCATGGATTATAATCCTCTTCATTCGAGCGTCTACAATGATGGTTGTGGATTTAGTTCAGTAATCTCTCGACATATAGACTTGACCTTGTGGAAATATTGAACAATCGGCATGATAGGCTATGAGATTGATAATAGCTTGTTCTCCGGAAGTTGTTGTCCTGTATCATTCTTCTTTGATAAAAGTGTCACGAACATGTCCCATGCTTGTTTCGGCGTCTTTTTGTCCCAAATATGCTCCAACATCTCTTCTTCGATTGTGGTCTATAAGGCAAACATTAATTTGCTTGATTTAATTCTCTATTTGCGTAGAGCGTCATGAATATCTTCCAATGGCGGCATAGTTTTTCTTTTTTCAACGACCTCCTATAGTTCTTGTCCTTTTAAGTAGCACAACATACATGTTGCTCACATTTTTATAGTTGTTGTTGTTGAGTTTCTTGGTTCCTTCGACGACTTGGAGATCACCCATCATGTTGGTGGTCAGTAATACCAAACAAGCTAGTATCGACACTGAACTTGCAGAGTCACAAACTACTCACGATACAAAGAGAATCACATGTTAACACTTATCAAGAAACCTTGCTCAGATACTAGATTGTTGAGCATGACTCTTTATAGGGGAAACAACAATACATTTATGAAGACCACTTGAGAAGAATGTACAATTTAGAGAGACTACGACACTTTGCTTTCTTGAAGTGTTTCTTGGATGGTTTGGAGCAAATGATATCTACACCTATTTATAGGCTTATTAGGAAGTTTCTGGATATTAAGATATACTTGGTTCTTACAAGATAAATCTAGAACTATCAATCAGAGCATTCTCGAACAAGCTAACTTCTTCAAGATCATAATATTGGTTCTATTGCGTTATGATGATATTTAAAGAAACAAAATATACTGAAGCATGTGGAAAAGATGAGCCCGTCAAGGCGATGGAGGTTGAGTTAGATGCAATCAAGATAAATAAAACAGGGAAACTAGTGGAACTACCAATTGCAAAAAAATATATGTTGGTCTTCAATGGGTTTTTAAGCTAAAAATAGTTCCAAACGAGAAAATGTTAAAGCAGAAAATGATATGTACAAAAATAAGGAATTGATTATGATGAGTTGATTCCACCTTTTTCGCAAATATAAACAATATGTGTCTTGTTTGCTCTATCAGCAAAAAATGGATGGATGGTATATAATCTCGATGTGAAATTGGTGTTTTTATATGGAGATTTGAAAGAAGATGGTTATATGACTCGGCCAGAAAGTTTTATGGACTGCAGTCAACTGATTAATGCACATAAGATGTTGAAGGCGTTGTATAATTTACACCAAGCTCCTAGAGCTTGGAGCTATTGATTAGGTAAGTGTTTGAAACAACTTTGTTTCCAAAATGTCAACAAGAATATTCCCTTTCCACATGAAACAGTACTAGAAAATTATTAATAGTTAGTGTATACATTGATGATCTCATTGTTATAGGTAATTGTGGTGACCATTTGAAGATTTTCAAGAAGAAACTGAACATAGAGTTTGAGATGAGTGACCTTGGCTTGTTGTCATATTATCTAGGTATTGAAGTAAGTTAATGTAAAGGCGGAGTTACCATAAAACAATCAACTTATGGAATTAAGGTGCTTAAAAGGGCAAGAACTCAAGATTGCAATCCATGTAAGTGTCAATCGGAAGCAGAAATGGAACTAATAAAAGACAAAGATGGGGAACCAATAGGCCCCACATATTATAAGAGAACTTTTGGTGGGTTAAGGTATTTGTCTCATACTCAACCTGGATATATCATATATTGTTAGTCTTGTTAGTCATTTCATGAAAAGACCCACTAGATATCATATACAAAAGGGGATTGTATATTTTGGTTTGAAGTATTCAATGAGAGTTAGGGAAACCATAGTAATAGGTTACACTGATAGTAAATGGAAGGGGATGTAAATGACGGGCGTAGTAAAACGACTCTGTCGTTTTACCTTAAGAATAATCTGGTTACCTGGGCTTCACAAAAGGAGAATTATGTAGCTCTTTCTTTATGTGAAGCATAATTTACGACTGCAACTTTTCAAGGGATTTGGTTAAGGTTTTTTGGTGCTTGAGCTAATAGGAAGAAACATCACTCTTGTAATGATGTGTCAATAAGAAGTTAACTCTAAACTTTATAAAAAATCATGTATTTCGTGGCGGGAGTAAACACATTGATATGCGGTTTCATTTCATATGTGAGTGTGTATAGAAAAACAGGATGTTATAGTCAAGCATATAAGTACTAAAGAGTAAGGAGCTAATATACTCACAAAATCATTGGCAAGAAACAACTTCGAAGAAATGAGGGGTTTGTTGGGAGTGAAGAAGGTGTCATTTGCTGAATTGCGGGGGGGGGGGAGAATGTTGGCTTAATTCATCAAAAAGACAGTTCTTAATTCAGAAAAAAGGAAGTGATTTTAGGTATAAAAGTATTTTAGGAAATTTTCCATATTTTCCACGAATTGTGTTGGAGCAAGACTCCTTTCCGTTTAGTATAAGCAGGGTAAAACTCAATAAAACTTGGTGAACAAGTCATTTTCTAGAATTCCTTTGTCCACTGAGTTCCCATGTTCTTTTGTTTTCATTTTCATGTGTACCTTGGTGATCAAGGTTAACCAACTTAGAATTTAGGGATTTTTTTTTACCTATAGAGTAGGACTGCGGAAACATTAGTTAGAAAGGGGAAATAAAATGAGTCATATATTTTTTTTAAATTTTGATTTTTGATATTAGAACACAACATGTGTTTTTAAAGGATGGAATGATTCTACAAGAAAGAATTATGCATGTCGTAAATCCTTCAGATTTCAAAAAAGACGACATTATTTTTATGACATATGTTTTTGTCTGTCTTAAATTCAGCAATATGTGGTAATTCGTATGTTATTAAAAGAAAATTCTAGCAGTGGAATGAAAGACTTACTTGAATATTCAGTGCTTCCTGAATCTTCTTGATGACCGTTTTCATTGTAGGGCGATCCTTTAAGTTCCAGCTAATACATTGATACGCAATTTCCTTAAATGCATTGAAAGAACCAATGTTTACTTGATCTCTAATATGAGGATCAATTAAGTTGTCCATTCCATCTTTATAGTAGCTTCGGACCAAACTTATGAGTGTTTGTTTCTGCTGATTATCACCAAAGCTTATTCTCTCATGAGCCAACATTCCACTCAACAGTTCAAACATTACAACCCCAAATGAATAAACGTCTGATCCTGTGCTGACAGTGCCGCCTTCGTTGTAAAGGGGATCCATGTAAAAGACATGACCGGTGGCCCAACTTGGAAATAATTGTGGTTGATTTTGGTATACTAATATTGACATATCAAAACTACGAATTTTTGCTTTGAAATTATCATCTAACAGTATTTTTGCAGACCTGATGTTTCTATGTATCAATGAGCTTCCCTCTCCAAGACCTGAGTGAAGGTGCTCAAGTCCTGCTGCTGCTCCTAGGCAAATCTTGAGACGTTGCTCCCATGTTAGGGATTGCCTCTTATCGGGGTTGCTGAGATGTTGATGAAGGCTATCATTGACAGCGTATTCAAAAACTGTTATCATTTCTTTTTGTTCGTTGCAGTAGCCGATGAAAGGAATGATGTTTTCATGGTTGAAGATGGACATCAACTCAACAGTAGTACCGAAGTCAGGTAGTCCTTTGAAAGCACCGAAATATTTGCGTCTGATAGCAAGTGTGCGGTTTTGCCACCGTTCTGAGAATTGTCCTATGTAGAAGTCACCAAATAAATCACTACGTCCAATAAGATTGTTCGGATTGAAGTTTCGGGTGGCCATAAGGATCTCCTCCAATGGGATCAGGTACTCTTCTAAATTCACTTTTGGAGAAGACATACTTTTCATGTTTTGTGATATGGGAGATTATGTGGTTATGGCTCCTTGAATATAAACGGAAATGAGTTTGGTTAGGGATGATTAGATCGGCGCTTGCGCTTCTACTTATATTGCCTTTAGGTTGAAAAAAATATCATATACGATTGACTACAATCGAAAAAGGAAAAAAAAAATCACTACTTTGTCATTTTTAATACTTTTGTTAAGGAAAGGTCAACATAGAAAAGACGTATGCAAACTGCTATGGTAGAATATCATCATATATACCTTAAAATATTTATACAATTTGTCGTGAAATGTATTTAAAAAGATTTTGACACGTTCAACTTCAGTTATTAACTTATTATTACAATATCAAGTTTTAATTAAATTGTTCCAACAACTCTTCGTTTGAAATCGAGAAAATAAAGTCGAAGTCGCCCAATCAATGATGATCCATTCTTATTTTATTGGATCAAATCAAAATGGTAGATTTGAATATATTGAATAAAAAAACACTTCTTCAAACTTCATTACCTTATGTTCACACGCTTATTCTACAGATTATATAATTAAAATTGTTCACATTTGTTATATATATATATAATATATATATATATATATATATATATATATATATATATATATATATATATATATATATATATATATAATCTGCAGAATAAAAAAAACACCGCAAGAAAAACTCTTATTCTACAGATTATATATGCTTTTAATTGTATATTAGGGGTATCTTAAAAAAAAACACTGCAAGAAAAAGAGGCATTAGAGACAAAAAAAATTGCCGCTAAAAAGTGGGATGTCGCCGGTAAAAGCAATAGTGGCGACACGTCGCCGCTAAAAAGTCGACGATGATGCCATGTTGCTATTGTTCAAAATGTCGCCGTTAAAAATATTTTCGCCTTTAATAACCTTGTTGCAGTTAATATGTCTGTCGTCGTTAATAGTATATGTGACCGCTAATAATGTCGCTGGTAATATTATTTTTCATTTTTTAATTTTTTTTAAATGCAACACTTTTTGGTGTAGAAAACTGATACGTAACGACGTTAAATACAAAAATAAATAAATAAATAAATTACATAACGACATCCAATTAGGTACCAAAATGTTATGATTCCACATACAAAAACCAAAATAAACAACCATAGTTATGATTCCCACAAGTATCAAAGTGTCACAACAAGTCTAACATACAAAACTCAAACTAAATATTCGACGAATCATCATTTATGTTACCCTAGTTTCCTTCTTGATCATCACTTTGTGGTTTATCCGATTGAAAAAATGCATAAAGTTCCTCCTTACATGTCGGGTCGTTGAGCATTGCACGATGATTTTCCAACTACATAATAAATAACATATATAAACTTATAAGTTAAACTAAACAAAAACTACCAAAGAACATTGCTATTTCTTGCACTTAAATACATGAAATACCAAAAGTACATTGCTATTTCTTGCACTTGGGACATAAACACAATTACCAAATCAACATGCATTTATTGATGCCAAAGTACATTGTTATTTTTAAACTAGGGACAGAAAATCAAAGTACATTGCTATTTCTTGCACTTAGAACATAAACACAATTACAAACATAATTACCAAATGAACATACATCTATTGATCATTATATAGATATATGAGACTTTGAAATTACATAGTCTTGTTTTACAAGAAATGGTAGCTTACTTTCTACCTATTTTGTGCTAAAGAACCTTGAATACAAGAAATACCAAAGTACATTGCTATTTCTTGCACTTGGCACAGAAATACAATTACCAAATCAACATGCATTTATTGATACCAAAGTACATTGCTATTTTTGCACTTGGGACAAAAAAATCAAAATACATTGCTATTTCTTACACTTAGAAAACAAACAATTACCAAAGTTTTTAGCAACTAATCACCACAGGCCAAAATTACCAAATCAACATGCATTTATTGATCATTATTTGAGAATTTAAATTTAAATAATCTTGTTTTACATGTAACACCCGTTTCAGGTATGAGCTAATCCATTATATTTTTAAGTCTTCATTTTGGGTGGCCACAACATGGTGGAGCCTCACCACGACATGGAGATATTTTCAAGGATAATGGGATTTAAAGACCTGTCACGGCGTGGCCACAAGTTCCACGACGTGGCAGCTGATTTTAATGAAACCCTAATTTCTACTTTGCACCCTATTTACAGGAATAAGGAGGCTAGGGTTTAATCATCCTCAGCCTTCCTCACCCTCAAGCTTCAAAAACCCTAACCCTAATTCCTCCTTGTGAGTTGTGAGTCTATTTTTGTGATTTTGGTTACTTTTCAAGGAAGAATAGACATTAAAAAGGATTGTGGTGCTTCTTGGCTGGAGTGAAGATCTCTTTGGGCATATCTGGACCTTTGTAAGTGTCTAAGCTCCTTGTTTTATGACTCTATGATAATAGATCTAAGGTTTTGTCACATTTTCTTCTTGTGTGACCTATTTGGAATGGAAGGATTCCAGAAAGTTGGCAACTTTATGGATCCTTGAAGTCCCTTTGAGATCATATGTTTTAGATCTGATGTCCCATGGTGTATGTTATCCTATGCATAAGTTTGAAGCCTCTTATTCACTCTTGTTTACCTAAAATGGATAAGACATCCGTTGGACATGCATGTTCATAAAGCAGCTAACTTTATAGCTCTTGGGGTAAAGGAAAACCCTTCTGGAAAGTTTAGGCTTATGTATTTTGTGATTAAGGACTTAATGGTTGAGTTGTACATCTTGATGACCATAAAACGTAGGTTTAGTGACCATAGCGAGTCCTAAAAGTTGTTTTCTGCACATCATCGTCTCTGACTCGCATCTGGTGATAACCCGATCGCAGATCAATCTTGGAGAACCAAGATGCACCCTGTAGTTGTTCAAACAAATCATCAATCCTCGGGAGGGGATAACGGTTCTTCACCGTTACCTTATTCAGCTCCCGGTAGTCCATGCACATCCGATGTGACCCGTCCTTCTTCTTCACAAACAGGATCGGGGCTCCCCATGGCGAACTATTCGTCCTGATAAATCCCTTGTCTAGTAGTTCTTGCAGCTGCGTAGACAACTCCTGCATCTCGGGAGGAGCCAACCGATATGGTGCCTTGGCTATCGGAGCCGCACCGGGGACTAGGTCAATACTAAACTCAACCTGTCTCTCTGGAGGTATCCCAGGCAAATCCTCCGGGAATACATTCGGGTACTCTCGCACGATCGGTACATCATCCACTGTCGCCTTACTCTTATCCTGGGTATCCATAACATAGGTGTAACATCACAAGATTTGTCATTTATAGTCCCTGGGGGTGGAAGGGTGAAGCCATGAAAGTCTAAGGGCTAAATTGCAATTTTGGGATCAGGAGGAGTACGCTGCGCGTACATAAGGGTACGTTGAGCGTACTAGGCGCGCCCTAGTACGCTTGGCGTACACTTATGTACGCTGGGCGTACTCATGGCAGAAGGAAACCCTGATATTTAGGGTTTGGGGACTATATAAGCAACATTATGAGCACAAAACCCTCCCTTACCCCAGCCTCCTGCTTAGAGTCGTTTTCCCCAAACCCTAGCCATTTCCTTGAGTGTTTGAGCTTTTTGAGTGTTTCTTGAGTGTTTTAAGAAGAATGTGTTGCATCAAGGAGTTGGAGAAGAAGATCAAGCTTGTAGATCTGAAGTTAGTTTGTGCCCTAGAAGCTCCAGAAGGTAAAAAGCTTGGAACTTTATACTTGTATGAGATAGATCTAGTCATTTTAGTTTTATGGAAGCATTCTTATCCCAAAAGTCCCAAAATGGTGCATGTTATGATTTGGACGAAATGAGTTGTCCTTTCAGACCTTAGAAGAGGTCCTAAGTGATAAAAATGGTGTCCCAATAGCTAGATTTGTCTCATGCATGAAGTAGGAAGGTCTTAATGGACTAAGACCATGTGTTAAGAACTTTTGGGACGTCCAAAGTGATAAAGTTCGAAACTTTATAGTTCTATGGCACATTTGGTCGATGGATCTGGAGTTTGGGCTTAAGTACTTAAGCCATTAAGCACTTATTAGGGTTTTGGTAAAACCCCGCGCATGCCCAGTGTAAATCCAGTACGCCCAACGTACTGGGTCAACCACCCCGATGGTGGTCAACATCAGGACGAGTACTCCCCGCGTACCAGAGGAGTACGCCCCGCGTACCTCCTCTATTGGGCCTTTGGCAATTGGGCTTCGGGTTTTGGGCTGTTTATGGACTAGTTGGATTTGGGCCTTTGTTGGACTTTATGAATATTATGTTTTGGGCCAAGTCTTGATAATGGATCTTGGAATTAGGCCCAATTTGGGAGTTGGGCCCAATTTGGTAAATTGGGCCAATAATGGGCTTGGCATAAGGACCTTCAAGGTTTTGGAATTGGCATTGGGCCTTGGCCCAATAAAGAGAATGGACATGATGGATTGTGTGGACCCCCTTAGTCAATATTGTTATGTTGTGTAATGACTTGGTATTTATTATAGGATAGTTCGGGATTTTGGTGAGGCAGCGATTCGGGATTTCGATTCTTTAGTTCAGATCGGCATTGCGAGGTGAGTTATCCTCACTATACTCAAGGGTCTAAGGCACCAAGGCCGGCCCTTTGGATTGTTATCCTAGTTATTTTGTGATTATGTGTATGATACTACGTTAGATTTGTATCCTGGTTTTAGGATGATGTTATGATTAGTGATCTGTTAGATCTGTATGATTATCGGTACATGTTAGTTTACATGGTTTAAAGGATTTTTAGGATGAAGGGTTGGGTTCTGCTTCGCAACTCTCGTTTGAGTCTAACCGTTGTGCAGTTGAATTCTTTAGCCTAAGATTGTTTAAACTGTGGGGCATGTATGCTTAGTGCTCTGTAGGTCGGTTTGACTGCATGTAGACTGTTATGTGGTTATTTGTTATATGTGCACATGATTGATTGGTAGTTGAGGGTATTCCAACCCGATGGTTGATTGGACCCATAGT